AGTGTTTAAGGCCTCTTTCACTCTGGTGTATTCAGCCAAGTGTCCAATAGTGACTCTTGCGTGGCCTTTCTTGCTTTTATCCAATGTAACTCCTCAGGTAAACCTTTAAAGGTGTCTAGGTTTAAGAAAGGTTAAGATACATCAATATAAAAATTTCAATTTCAAGTTTCTTTAAACTATGATAAAGGACACAACAGAATATTCTTTAAAGTCCAGGAAATAAAGACTATATTTCAACTGTGACTTCATCTAAGAAAGCAGTGAAAGTCCATTCATTTCTAATGATCTTATTACTTGAAGTTGCAAAGGTCTAAGAATACAAACAGAAGGAAAATGTGTTTTCTTTGAGTATAGTTGACACACAATATTAGCTTAGTTACAGGTGTATAACATAGTGATTCAACAACTGTATATATACATTATGCTATGCTCACAAGTGTAGCTACCATCTGTCACCACATAACATTATTACAACCACTGTACATTGGTTACAATGTATACAATACATTGTATTCCCTATGCTGCACCTTTCATCCCTGTGACTTACTCATCCATAACTGGAAGCCTGTATCTCCCACTTCCCTTCCCCCATTATGCCCATCTTCCTACCCCTTGCCCCTCTGGCAATCATCAGTTTGTTCACAAACAGAAGGAAAATTTTAACATTTCATGTAATTGTGTGCTATGTGTTCATGATATCAAAAGAAAAAAGAAAATCAAATAACTCATTTGTTTTCACTGAACTTTTTTTTAGGCATTGTCATAGAAAATTTAAGGTTAACAGAAAGAAGGAAATTCATTTTCTGAAATCCTTAAGTGCAGCTACTATGGAAAGAATTAGATTTTAGTGCTGACATTCCCAGATTTACAATTTGCTCTTTTATAGCACAGTGGCAAAGAAACCTTGCTCACCTTCCTACAATAACTTTAAAAATGGAATTGTCGGGTGTATTTACCAACCCTGTCATTTCCCAGCATAATTATAGCGTACATCCCGAATGGAAAAGTTGTTTTTAATCTATGTAAAAAAAAAATACAACTGCCAGAGGGCTACCTTCTCCCCTCCTCCCATTTCTCTACCCATCTGATAGCCAGCAGGGATTTGTACTGTGTCTCCACATAATTGTATAATCCTTCATAAACAACCTTAGCTGTAATGATTCCATTTTGATTATGTTGGATATTTTTGGTAATTTTTAAATGGCTTACAGTAAAGCTTAGAGCTCTTACTGACACGTGATGATTTTCTTAGTAATTTTTGTTAATAGAATTAATACAGTAAGGCTAAGAGCCCTATTACTGACCCATGTTAGGATTTTCTTAGTAATTTCTATTAATAGAATTCTATACATACAAACATTCAAGGGCGAGTCCTTCCTTCTGAGATTGCAGCTAACCTGACAAATTCAAGTGGTAAAACCAGCAGAAGGAACAAAAACATATAAGCTGTTATGGACAAAACTAGGACTAAAATAGAATCAATTTACTCAGGTCATTCATAAGATTAGTTAAATTTAAGAATCTTAAAAACTAATTTATCCTGAAATTTTATACAATTAGTATGGTTTTTCAGATTCCAGGTAGAATAATAAGGATAGAAAGGGAAAACACTACCAAGTTTTAACTACTTGTATTAAAAATAAAAAGAGATAATAAACTTTATGGTGAATAATCTACATTTTAAATGCTTGGCTTTATTGTGATCTGCTTGGGAGAGATATGTTCATTTGGATAATGGCTTTCATTTGTTTTCATTTTCGTTGTAACACTAAGATTTCATACAGCATAATCAATCCACACTCAGTCTGAGCTAAGCAGTTGAAAAATGTCCTCATCTAAAACTCTTTGTAGGATCTTCAAATATTCTAGGAACAGATAATTTTTCAAACCAATGAGAAGCACCAATTTAAGTAGAGCCATCCATTCTTTAAAACTCTAATAAGCTTCCACCCTGGCCTCAACTCTGGCATATCCCCTCGAGACCTACCATTGCCATCCTCTCCTACCCCAAGCAAATTACACTATTTAACGAGTCCACCCGTTTGATCCTTTAGGAGCTAAAGTCAACAGGCCTTAAGTTATGAGTAGGAAAATGACCTTGATTATAAATTAAAAAATTGTGCATCATTTATGCATAGACCCATCCCTGAAATCTGAACCGCTCTATAAGGACCATGTCTAAACACAATTAGCCTGTTACAGTGGAGAGCTCTGTGGCTTTCTCCTAAGATAATAGGGTATGCCGAGTAACATTTGTCTAAACCTATTGGTAAAACTGCTGTCTTCTTTTGACCTGGTGAGGCACATCCAGCTGCTCAAGAACCCTGGGCTACTGAAAAATGCCCACCATTACCACTCCATACAGAGGCCCTTGCCTGGGGTGGTGAGAACTTTAACCCTCTCTCTTTCCAGGCTGTCGGTACTCCATTTTCTCATTCCAGGTTTGGGGATAATGGAGGATGCCCAGATGGTGACATCAGCAAACAATTTCCAGGAGAACCAGAGAGTTGGCCATTGTGATACCATCTTCCATTGTCACTTATAATCCTAACTAACAAGTTTTATAAGGGGGACAAAAATTAGTTGTAACTTTTATAAAGTACTAGTATTTTTATTTTGTAGAAAAAAGAAATACAAAATGGGTTACAGATATCAGATATAAAGTATACATAACTTGCATATACAAAGTACACATAATTTGCACGTAATTATATTGTTATATATTTACCACATCAGTGTTAAAATTTACCACATCAGTGGCAATCGAACAGAACAAATTAAAACAAAGTGTCCTTTTTTTAACCTATCAAAGTAGTGAAGATTTCCAAAATGACAATCATTAAATCCTGGCTAATATTCAGTGGGGTTGTCACTTACCCTATAAATAGTGTGATCTTTCTGGAATGCAATTAAACCATAGTATCAAGAATGTTGAAAGAATTTATTTTTTTTTCTGCTTAGTAATTGCCTATCAGGATTCTCTAATAAAGAAATGATAAAAATAAAATGTATGAAAAATATAAAGGACACATATCTATCTATCCATCCATTTACCATTGTCTATAGTAGCTTAAATATCCAAAAATAATAGATGGTCAAAAATAAAACATATATTCAATGGAATATTAGGTATACATTAAGTACCATAATCATTAGGAATCATCACTGAAATGAGGAAAGGTTCAAAAATAATTTCTAGAGTAAACTGGATGCATACTTATATGTATAAAATATACAAATATAATATAATAAAAACTGGTCTGAAAGAAATATCTTTTGTTTTTAAGTGAATATCCCTGAAGTGAATAAAGACTTATTTTTATATTCATTTTTTTGTGCTTTAACATATTTTATAAAATTTTCACAGTGAATATTTATACTTTTATTTATTTTTTTTTTACAAATAGTTTATTGTCAAATTAGTTTCTACATAACACTCAGTGCTCATCCCCAAAGTGCCCTCCTCCATGCCAATCCCCCCCTCCCCCCCACATCCATCAGTCCTCAGTTTTTGTCAGCAATCAAGAGTCTCTCATGGTTTGCCTCCCTCCCTCTCCCCACGTATCTTTCCCCTTTTCTCCCCCTTGTTCCTCCGTCAAGTTCCTCCTAATCCCCCTATACGTGCAAACATATGGTATTTGTCCTTCTCTGCCTGACTTATTTCGCTCAGCATAACACCCTCAAGGTCCATCTATGTTGCTACACATGGCCAGATTTCATTGTTTCTCATTGCCATGTAGTATTCCATGGTATAGATAAACCACATCTTCTTGATCCATTCATCTGTTGATGGACACTTAGGCTCTTTCCATGTTTTAGCTATTGTGGAGAGTGCTGCTATGAACATTGGGGTACATGGCCTCAGCATTTCTGTATCCCTTGGGTAAATTCCTAGCAGTGCTATTGCTGGGTCATATGGGAGTTCTATTGTTAGTTTCCTGAGGAACCTCCACACTGTTTTCCAGAGGGGCTGTACCTGTTTACATTCCCACCAACAGTGTAGGAGGGTGCCCGTTTCTCCACATCCTCGCCAGCATCTAGAGTTCTCTGATTTGCTCATTTTAGCCACTCTAAATGGCATGAGGTGGTATCTCAGTGTGGTTAATATTTATACTTTTAAAGCAAAAATTAAAAAAGGAAGAAAAGAAATGCAAGCTTATCTACTAAATCCATTGTGCTGCTGCCCTTCATCTATAAAATAAAGTCCAAGTTGGCTAGGCTCACATTAAAGTCCTTGTAATGTGATCATATCTTAACATTCAATCATAGTTTTAAAGACTGTGCAATTTGAGCACCCAGTTCTGGCTCAGATGGTCACCAGGCCTGTCATGAGCCATCTAGATTCTACTCATGCTCTTCTCATCGGGCCTAGAACTTCTCCTTTCCTCTACAGTTTTTGATCATAACTCCTGATTGTAACCATTTTAAGCCAACTTCAGATATTCATGATGCTCTAAACAAAGCCTGGCAATCATACAAAAATAATTTCAGACACTGATTCCAATTAATTCAGCACAATAATTTAGAAGGAAACCCCTTCTGAAAGCAAGATTCCCATATTTGTTAAATGAATGTAAACAATCACTACTGTAATCATAGTAGCAATGGCAACTAACATTTATTGAGAGCTTTGCATTTATAAGGAGGCACTGTGTCAGCTTCATTGGTTTTATCTAATGCTCTAAACAATCCTCCATTTCACAGATGAAAAAACTGAGCCTCAGGTAGGTTATGTATATTTCCCAAGGAAGTATAAACAGTGTTGGCTTGAGATTCAAATCCAGCTGTGTCTGATACCAATATGCTCTCCAGTACCAAATTTGCTAATGGAAGGTCTACTAGTTTTGCCTATGATACATTATTATGAATTAATCTAACTGATATCCATGAAGCTAAGTAAAAAGGATGTGCTGAATTACAAAATTTTCTTTTACATATGAAAATAGATACAAAAACAAGAGAATTTTCTGTTGAATCTCATTACATAATGAAATGTTTACCTGTATAGGACCAGCCAATCTCTTCAACAAGTTTCCTTTGTTGTCTGTAGTATCCATAAGCCCAATCTACAACAAAGAAAAATCAATCGATCAATGTGTAGGGTAATATGTGTGTCCAAAGGAAAATATATCAGATGCCCAAATCATTCATTCCATAGATGGTCCTCAATGAATCCTTCCCATGTCACCTTCCCAATGACTCCTCTCAACTCTAACCGCCACAATTATAGTCTCTGTTGTTCCTGTTCGAGTAGCTAGTATAAATTTTAGGGGGCATATTTAAAAAATGCTGAAGTTCAGGCAGAGACAGGGGAAACATTCTGGGTAAAGCAGGAGCAACCAAGAGGTGTTCATCTCAAAGGAAGATGGATCAGAAAGAACAGTCTGTCCTATCTCCAAATTTTTCTTACGATTCCCTAAGTCTCATATCTGAGATCCTGTTGGTTAGAGATACTTTCAGGTTTACAAACCAAGTTTGATCCATCAATGCATCTAGGAGACCCAGAGTTTATTGTGTTTTCAAAATTTGCTTCCTTTCTGCCGAAAAATGAAAGTAGCTGCCTTGAGGAAATGAGAATTTAAATGTAGGTATGTTGGCTGGGAAAAAGGCTATGTTAGACCTTGTATGTGACTTTGTCTCTTGGAGGAACCTAGATGCCTGAATGAGGCAATACAGGAGGAAGTTTAGGCATCATAAAAGTGGATGCCTCATGACTCAGAGAGAGTAATTCTAGATCAAGAACATGGGGCAAGAGGTAAACAAAAGAAAATGGGTGGAAGCCAAGATCTCACTCTACATGATTCATAACTTTGCTTGCACTAAATAGATATATATATGCTATATATGTGCACATACACCATATATATAGGTATGATATAGTCTTTCTCACCATTGGGGAAAAGAAACCCTATTTCTTCTTTTTGTTGCTACACAGTTATTTTCTCTTTATTGACAATTCTCAATTTAAGGAATGCAAATATCTAAGGACACTGAAGAAATTATTTTCCTCTTGTCCAGGTTCTATACCTGCTGATTAATACAGCATGGTAATTAATAACTGCTAAACTATTTCATAAAAGATAAAAATCAGGTTTGCTATCAGAAATACATGTTCCGAATCTACAGATTATTCAAAACCAAAACTTACTTTTAAGAAATAAGGGCTTTGTGTTTGTTTTAAAACCTTTAGTATTCACAAACATAGATAAATATTCTATTGGCCACATAGCACATTTCAGCATGTATTTATTTTTTTAAGAGCTATGCCGAAATATTACACAACACACAACGCACCCATTGTATACAATTTTGTGGTTTTCAGTATATTCAGAGTTGTACAATCATCACCAGAGTTTTACATCATCATCATGCCCATTAGAAAAGTCCATAACCTTGGCTGCCACCCCCATTTCCACCCTCATAACCCACAGGTCTAGACAACCACTATCTAGTTTGTTTCTATAGATTTGAATATTCTAGACATTTCATATAAACAGAATCACACAATGTAGCTTTTTGTGACTGGCTTTTATTTATTTATTTGAGACAGAACAGGGAGGGGCGGGGGAAAGAAAGAGAAAGAGGCAGAGGGGGTGGGGCATGGTCATGGAATCTCAAGCAGGATTCACACTCAGCCTTGAGCCCAATGTGGGGCTCATTCCATGCACGTGGGATCATGACCTGAGCCACAGTTGGGAGTCGGAGGCTCAACTGACTGACCACCTAGGTACCTTGTGACTAGCTTCTTAAATTTAGCAGAATTAATGTTTTCAAGATCCATCCGTGCTGTAGCATTTATCAGTACTTCATTCTTTCTTATTGCCTAATAGTACTCCATTGTGTGGTGACCGAGATGGCCTTCAAGTTCCCTTCAGCTTGATTAAACTTTGACAGGCTTTTTCCCCACTCTAGGTCCCGATCCTATTCTTCTTAGATCATTTAGTTTAGAAAACTTTGTAAATTCCTTCTCTGCCCTTTTGAGATGTAAATCTTTTTTTAATAGTCACATGCCAGTTTTACAACCAAGAATGTACTACTAAAGGACATGAGAACCATCTCTCACTTTTTTTAAAGTTTATTTTTATTTATTTTTGAAGGAAAGAGTGGGGGCAGAGTGAGAGAGGATCCCAAACAGGCTCTGAGCTGTCAGAGCAGAGCCTGATGCAGGGCTCCATCTCATGAACCATGAGATGATGACCTGAGCTGAAATCAAGAGTCAGATGCTAACCAACTGGGCCACCCAGGCGCCCTGGGAAACATCTCTTTAAAAGGAAATAGGACCCTTATCACCCAGTTTCTATGAAAGGATAAGAACTTAACTTTGGTGGGGTGCCTTGCTCCAAGGTGCAAAAACCACCTCGTGTCATGAAGATATGAGCTGATTTTTCCTTTGGATAAAGCCAGTTTAGCAAGCGAAACATGGCTTATGGCTTCCTGCTAATATCCCGCTCTACTGCTCCACTGGGACTCAACATCAGCCATTAAAAAACCTTTTCCATTCTATTTCATCAAGTTGGGTTCCGACTTGGTTCTGGCTTCTCTCCCCACTGCAATAGCCTTGACTAAAGTCCCCCTTGCTTGTATAACTTTGTCCAGTGAAATTTTTGTTCTGACAATGGATACACCCTATTTTATTTATCCATTCATCAACTGACAGATACTTGGGTTGTTTCTTCTTTTTGACTATTATGAATAGAAGTATTAATATTCATGCATATGTTTATTTTTCCACTTAAAAAGTAATTAGGTTCGGGGCGCCTGGGTGGCTTAGTCGGTTAAGCGTCCGGCTTTCGCTTGGGTCATGATCTCACGGTTTGTGGGTTCGAGCCCCGCGTCGGGCTCTGTGCTGACTGCCAACTCAGAGCCTGGAGCCTATTTCAGAGTCTGTATCTCCCTCTCTTTCTGGCCCTCCCCTGCTCACGCTGTCTCTCTCTCTCTCTCCTAGAAATAAAAAAATAAAAATATTAAAAAGTAAAGAAATAAAAGAAAAAGTAATTAGGTTCATAATATATTTTTCAAATACAGTTGTCCAATAAAATGGTAGTCATTTAGGTTAAATTCTGTAAACAAGTATTTCTTCATGATCAGGGAACATATACAGTTAGATGTTAGAATGGGCCTCAGATGTCATTTGACTGAGACTTTAACAGTCTACGAGAAAAAAAAAAATTCCTGGAGATAAGGTGCTTTATTCACAAAAAATGTGAATGATTTGTACAGGTAGTAAGTTGCAAAAATGGAAACAATAATGCATGGCTCCTGCTTCTTACTCCAGAAACTTCCTCAGCATCAAGGGTCCCAAACAACCTTGAGCTATTGGTTACTCTCTTAAAGCGTTTTGCCCGAGAAAGACCCCTATAGAATGTATTCTTTCAAGAGACACAAAATAAAACAGAATAATACAATAGCCTAGAATTTAACCCGAATAAAATATTTGGACAAATAAATTATAGAGAATTGATATACCTGATTTGACCTGGAAATCAATTAAAATTTTCCTCTGAAATTTTGCACTGATCATAAGGAAAAGATGTATTGTAATTTATTACAGGTTTTAAATATAAATATTTTAAAAGTAAGACATTTTTGACATATAAATGCATTTTGAAGATTCCAGAAAATCAAAACCGACATTTAACAAGTAATCCATTGAAATAAATAAAACTAAGTGTTTGTTTCAATGATTCAGTCTAAAAGATGACAGCAAAATATCAGCAGATTTTAGCTTTCCTTGTAGGACTTTATCACTCACAATGAGCATTTGTCCTTGGTTTTTAATTACTTACATTAAAAAAGCTTTATTCAATACAGGATTCCCAGGTGTTGGTAGCTCTCTTCAGTTCCTTTATGTATTGTTCCCCTAATTGTTACTTCAAACAATCCGTTACACATTCATATGCTAATTACATAGTCCTTGGGCGTGAGAGAGTACCCCACTTTTAAAATTCTACTTAGTGGTCTGATAGATGAGATGTGATAGCTTCAATGAACAAGAAAAAAGAAGCTAGGTTCACTTTTTTGTGGTTGTATTATATACTTTGAAGACCAGTAAATCCTATATGAAATGAATCTATCAAAGTGCTTACTCATTTTTAAATCAATTAAAATAATGAAATATAGAATCTTTTTTCTATTTGTGTGAATTTCAGTTTCTTTCATTTTTACATTTTGTTTCTTTCAATTTAAAAGTATTTGCCAGGTTTGTATTGGCGTGTTTTGTAGTGAAACAACTAGGAAAGAAATTTCAGGAATGAATTGTACATGCAATATACAAGAAAATATACATTATTCAATTTTTAAAGGCTACTCTAAAATTTGTTCTGAAAAAAATATTCTTCATGAAGTGGACTTTTAACGTACTACTAAAATTAGGAGAAATTTCAGGAAATCTGAAATGTTTGTTTCAACATATTCCATCCTGTACCTAATGTTGAGTACCTACAGATATGTAAATATGTAAACGTGTGTGTGTGCCCTTTATTTTTCCTTATATTTGGATAATGAAAATCAAAGTCTACCAGATGGAAGATATAGATTAACTTAGCATTTTGTTTTTGCTCAAGTTTTTTTTAAAGAATAAAAAATCTGGGTGCTCATTTCCTACTAAAAATATCATTATAAATATTTTGAATTAAAAAAAATGCCTCTGAGTTTGCCCTTACCCTAAAGAAAGTCTGTGCTTCATGCTGATTAATAATTTCACCTGCTTCCTACTATATAATTTAGCAGCAATACTCTGACAACACACACACACACACACACACACACACACACACTTTAATGATATAAAGTGGCCAAACATATGACAGGGAGAAGAAATAGACTGGTTCTCTGAAAAAGAAACTTCAGGTAGAAAATAATGTTCGAAGACTAGGATTCTAAAACTTGTTTTCTCAAAGCAGACTTTCCCAGGGTAAATGATACTCGCATATTTTACTAAAGAACTTCAGCGAAGGGGAAAAGGAAGTTAGTTGATGACAGAAATCTAGATAGGCAAAGGAGAAAGAACTGAATTAGAGATGAATTTTTAAAGCCCTTGAGTATCACCTTGGCAATGAAAGACTTG